CGCCCCTGAGCCTCTGGCCTGTACCCCAGTTCTATATGTACAAATAAATAAATCTTTAAAAAAAAAAAAAAGTTCTCTCAACCTTGATCCCAACCTTATCCAACTATGCACAAATGCACAAGCAATTTACAAACTCGAGCTACCTTTTAGCCATTTTCCTATTTTTGCATAAAATCACAGGGCAGAAAATCAAATAGCAATTTTGTTGTTGTTGTTGTTGTTGACCTTATTGTAGTACTCCCTACAGGATCAGAGTGAACCATCGATGTCCAGTCCACACAGGCTTCAGGAGCAACGTTGGTCTCAGCAGACTCAATCTAGAGTTTCCTTTTCTTGAGGTTACCAGGACTTTTTATTTTTCCTGGTCGTCCAGGCCTGCCGTTGGAGGCAAGTTTCCTCACCTTCTTTGGGGGGGTCTCTGGAACCCTACAAACAAAGCAGCAGATTCTCCTCTTCTTGGTTCAGTTCTATTTGAAGTTCCTGGAGAATTCCAAGCAAAGCCACTGAAACACATTTCCAATTTCTTTAGTTTATGTAGACAAAAATTCTCTATTGAAGCTATGCAAAAACAGACGTGAGTAGTAAAAATTACTACTAAATTTTTATACTGTGTTGGTATCAAAGAGAGAGAAGTGGAAACAAAAGTTAGCTCTGTTGAAAAAAAAATTGTAACATTATTATAGATCCTGGTCATTCAAAACAAGAAAACTTCTTTTGAATCAAACAATGGGGGAAAAGAACAGTATTATCTCAAGCAAAACTTAGTAAAAATCAGTCTGTACAGTTCTTTGTAGAAAATGCTTTCACTGTCAAAATTTCCATCAATTGGAATCAATTGAGGTCTTTTTTCTGGAGACAGTTTTTTTTTTTCAGGAACAATTTCTGCAAATGCCAAACCATTGACTATAATATTTCAGGACTACAATCAAAATTTACAATTTATAGAACATATGAAATCGAAAGGTTTTATGCACTTTTCAGAAAACCAATATTAACATTTATGTTTATGCCATGTTTTACCTTTTCCCCAAATGACAAATCTTCTTTTCCTTTTTTTTTTCTACTAGGTAAACCAAAAAGGCCAGATTGATCTAAATGCCTTTCCCAGGAGCAAAGGGAGAAATTTGTGGAGTGTCTCAGGAGCTCTACTGAGGTTCTACAAAATTTCCTTTGATGAACCAAATGACAGACTGTAACAGGTACAGGTTTCATGGACTCCGCCCCACTCCAGACACTGGAACTCCAAATCCCATCAGTACCAAGGAGAAGCACGCTGGGATGTGAGGGCGGAGCTGAGCAGCCACGTTGGGATAAAACCGGACATGTAGGCTCCGGGGGTCTCTTGGCCTGGTGGTTCGCCGTTGGTCATTTGGCTCTCGATCGGTTTTCAGCGTGCTGTGGAGTCCAAACCAGCAGAACTGGTAGGACATTCTAGTTAACTTGTATTTCTCTCTCTCTTTCCTTGGGTTATTCCTTTACCTTTCTCCTTGTAAATAAATCCATTATTGAACCTTTTGGCATGGCCACAGTACAGTTGAATCTTTCTTAAGCGCGTGGGTGAGGACCCACAGACAGGCAACCCAATTCACATTGGGGTGCCCTGTAACAAAACGACCCGTTGCAAACCACCAGGCCAAGAGCCCACATGTCCAGTTTTATCCCAGCCTGGCTGCTCAGCTCCGCCCTCACGTCCCAGCGTGCTTCTCCTTGGTATTGATGGGATTAGTAGTTCCAGTATCTGGAGTGGGGCGGAGTCTATGAAACCTGTACCTGTTACAAGACTACCAAATTTTACTTCAAATTTAGAATTCTGGGAAGCTTTGTCACAAACATGAAACAGTAACAACAACAATCTCAATCTCTATGAAAGCTCCAGCTCAGTCAGAAGTGCAATATTGACTGTCAAATCATAACCTTTTTGTTTTGTTTTGTTTTTCCTTCATAACTAGAGACTCTTTGTCCTCAAAAACCTTAATTTTTCCAAACTTCTGTTTTCCTAACATTATCAACCCAAGCAAATGGAAAAAATATTATACCCAGTACACCCTCAGAAGCTCCTGTTTTAAAACAACATATTAGAATACGAATTAAAACAGCATATTAAAGTACGA